ACGCCTGCGCGAGGTGAAACGCGCAGCCTTGGACTGTGGCTCTCGGAAAAACCTAAATTACACCTAAGAATACTGAGGTAGTACCCTTTTTGCGCATAGTTTACCCTGCCAGCCGCCGAAATTGCTGCCCTTTCAAAATCGAGAACGATTCTGAGTGACGTGGGCATGACTGAGGCTTCGAACTCGGCATAAAGATATCCAAATATTGTTTCATAGACCTGAGAAGAAGCATTTTATTTGATTGTATCCGTTCATCGTAATAATACCTCTTCAGTTTTCCTCGCTGTTACGGCGTAGACGAGTGGAACTTCAATTCCATTATTGCAGACCCCATGAATCGTATATAATTGACCAGCACGTTTTAGCTGACGGGGTTGGTAGGAGTGCACCCCGTCAGCTACAAGTGCATGCAAACCATTTCGTGCAGCTTTCTAAAGTTATTCAACACTATAGCAATCTTCTCAGCTTTCAAAAACTACCTGCAGCGTCGTGCTGCTGTAGTATACGTGTAGTGATGCTTCCATATGATGAACAAAAGAAGTGCCGTCGGGTAGGAGCCTTAGATGAGGTGGTATCTCCAGCATAGATGCGCTTTGATCCTCATGTGTGGAAAGTGCCCTAGAGTGCGGCTGCAAATATTAATGGTGGGCAACCAGTAAGCGACCCCACCTTTTGATCGCGTCCCTCCTAGATATGATCCCGCTTTTATAATGCTGAGCAAGCATCTCATCGCGTAAAGATGGTTCTGTAATATAGGCGCTGGCATGAAGATAGAAAAATGCGCAGAGCGCCCTATACCTCGTTCGGCTTTTTCTTTCACAACTTTCATTTGTTCCAACCATACAGGTTTCGGCTTTTTGCCGGCATAAGTCGTGTCCGTTTTTACCTCGCGATTGAACTAAAAAATTGAACAAACTAGAGCGCGAAGAGCAGATCTGCCAGAAAACAAACTTCGTAGACCGTCCTTTCAACAAGAATCCTCGCCGTTCGTACAGGAACGCAAGAACTGTGATGTTGTAAACTACACGGATCCGTCAGGAATTCCCCGTTTGAAACCTAGAACCCAATGTTCTCACGAATATGTGCACAAACAGTGCGAAGCTCTACTTTGATTCCAGTCCACTTGCCGTACTTCTTGCACTGTTGGCACTGGTATAAACGGTGATCGGTTCCATCGCGCTTATATGTGAAAGTGTAACACATGGCTGTACCCGGAAGACGGTACACCATGGTCGCGTGCTTCCCTGTTCTAGACGAACCAGGTTCAGCAATGTATCGTCTTTCTGCAAGCAAGACGATTGCACTTATTAGATCTGTACTTGTTGAGTTTTTGGTTGTCTGCCATTTGGGAACAAGGCGATTTGCGAAAAAGCCAGTATTTCCTAGA